CACACAGCCTAATGTTTTTAGGAGACTGCAGGGACATTCGGACCTCACCTCCGGAGCCTTGACTGCCAGGCTGCCTTCTTTCCCTGCCTGCTCTGGCCCTTGCTGTTGTGTGGCAAAAGACCCTGGGTTTTGGGCTTCTGCGTCACTTGGGGCCTGGAGGGACCTAGGCATTGGTGGTCAAGGGCACAGGGCAAGTCAAGCTGGTGGTCATGTGTTGAGCATCAGCTGTATACCCAGCCCTGCTAGGGAAGGCAGATGAATTGTATCTGTTTTATAAACAGGGAAACAGAGGTACAAAGAAGGAACAGCATGTGCCCACAGTTCCTCTACCATTGAAAGGGTGTGACACTTCCTTCTGATCACCGTGGCTGCCCACGTTTCAAGACTTCAGGAGCTGCTTTGGGGGGTGGTTTTGAACCACATGACCTCATCCTGCACCACGTTCAGGCAGACGTTTCAGGAGGGGGCCTGGGAGTGAGAAAGAGGCTGAAGCTAAGTTGGGGGTGTTGACACAGAGAGGGCCAAGAGCCACGTTTGAAGGGTAGACCTTCACTCTTCAGGAGACGGAGTCCTAACTTGCCACTTTGCCACTGTGTGACCTCAACCGAGTCCTCTCCCCTTTTCCCCTCTACCTTCTGTACTGTGAAATGGGTACGTTCATGTCCAGGTAACATCTCCCATATCACTTTGTGGGATGAATACTAATGGTACTCAAGTGCCTCCCGTGCAGCCCCTGATCTATAGAGCAGGGGAGGCCCAGGAGATTGGGAGATGTCCCCAACACCCCTGAACTGTTTTACTCCGAATCCTTCCAACATCAAATGTGTTGGGGGTGGGGGGTTCCCCACACCAATTCTGTTTTCTAGGCACCAACCAGGTGTCCTGCAATTCAGTTCTGTCACTACCTGCCATTAGCCCAGATCCCACAGCTCAAGGGCCTAGTCCCACAAGACCATCCCCATTTAAGATGCCAGTTGCAAGTCCCAAGCTGTCACCTGGGACTTCTGAATAACCAGCTAGAAACCAAGGAATTCCATGACCCCACCCCGGTTTTGATAATTTGCCAGAACAGCTCAAAGAACCTAGAGAAGTACTTTATTCACTATTCCCGACTTATTATACAAGATAGAAGTTAGGAAGAGGCAGGCAGAGGAGACGTATGGGGCAAAGTACAAGGGCAAGGGGTGTGTCGTTTCCACGGCCTCCGCAGCCTCCTTGTGCGCCAGCTAGAAGGTTCAGAGAGCCTCATTGGTCTTATTCCATCGGCACGATTGGTTAGATCATTGGCCTTTGGTGATTAGTTCAATCGTCAGCCCCTCTTCCCTCCCAGGAGGTCTGGGAGGTGGGGCTGAAAGTTCCAACCCTCTAACGCCTCAGTCTTTCTGGGGACCAGCGCCCATCCTGAAGCTATCTGCTAGTCCCCGGCCGTCACTCATCTTCCAGTTTACAAAAGACACTTAGCACTCTCAGAGATTCCAAGAGTTTTAGGAGCAGAGTGCCAGGGACCAGGGGCCAAGACCAAGTGCATTTCACTGCATCCCACCCCTGCTAAATGGCAGAGCAGGGGCCAGAAGCCTAGACCCTTGCCTGCCTCCTAGGAGCCTTGGGTCTAAGTGGAGGCCCTAGTTTCTCACCAGCATGTGACACAGGGCCTTTTTTGGAAACCACGGATTTGACCCCCACTTGAAACCTTTCTGGAAAAAAGTTCTTTTTTTTTTTTTTAATTTTACCCTCAATTCCCACCAGCAACTTTTTTTTTCTAGGAGAGAGAGAGAGAGAGACAGCGTGAGCAGAGGAGGGTCAGAGAGAGAGGGAGATACAGACTCTGAAATAGGCTCTAGGCTCTGAGCCGGCAGTCAGCACAGAGCCCGACGCGGGGCTCGAACCCAAGAACTGCAAGATCATGACCTAAGCTAAAGTCGGACGCTCAACCGACTAAGCCACCCAGGTGCCCCTGGAAAAAAGTTCTTGAGTGCCTCCGGCCCTACCCAAACTATTTCTGTCCCTTCTGGCCTCAGAGCCTTTGCACGGCTATAAGTCTGATAACACGTCTTCCCTCTGTTACCCAGCTGACCTTGGAAGTCGGTTCCCAACAAGCCTCAGGCTGGGCTAGGGCTTTCCTGGGTTCCCACAGTGCTCTGTGCTTCCACCATTACTGCCCTGACCACTCTGGGTTTGTGTGTAGCTCACTGAGGGCATAGATGGGAGCTGTCCTGGTCAGTGCTGAAACAAAGGACGTAAGTCCCGCCAACTGCCGTATCCCTGGGTTTGCCCACAGCTACACCCCCAGTGTGGAGAAGATGAGGGCATCTCTGCCAAGCGAAACTGGGTGACCCCACTTGCCTCTTGCTCTGGTGCCTCCCAGTGGCTCCCCAGGGAAACGAGGCAGAGGCTGCTGGACCAGGCTGTGTGGCTTTGGCAGGACCCTGCCGAGCCAAGGCCAAGGTGTGTGTCAGCCCCTGCCCGGCCAGCAGTGATTCATACCAGGCATCAGCCCAGCCCCAGGCGGTGAATGGGGACAGTGGCCTCACTTTCCCCTTCAGGACTGTGCCTCCGAGTCAATACCCATTTTTGCCAGGCCCGTATGGGGACCCTGAGACCTTCAGCTGAACTTCACCCTAAGGAGCCGCCATCCTCAGAGCCAGACACAGACACCCGCCTGGCCTTTTAGGATGTGGATCAGAGTATAGCAGGAGTGCCTTCTTTGCTCTAGAGCCTCTTAGGACTCCTGAGAACCTTCTTGATAAAACCCAAACCCTTGTACTCCTCTCTGACTCCTCTCTATCCGGTTGTCCACTTCCTGGCCCTCTTCTCCATCGCCTCCAACCACATCAACCTCTATTCATGGTCCCTATTCATGCCTAACTTCTTCCCACCTCAGGGCCTTTGCCCATGCTGCGTTCACCACCTGGAATGCCCTTCCCCCAGCTCTCCTATGACTAACTCCTCCTCTGGGACTCAGCCCATCCACCCCCCCTTAGATTCCTTCCTAGCAGTCTCACACCCCCACGTTATTTGAGTTTGTTTGTGTCCCGAGGCCCAGATAAGTCCCACTACAAACTTAGGTGCTCAACAAATGCCCCAGGTATGTGAGACTGAGTCTGCCTTGAGACACCTGTAGGGGAAGAATTTGGGCCCCCGTCTGTACTCAGAGCCCTAATTTTCTGTTCCCGACAGGCAGGAAATCTATAGCCACCACCATAACCATCAGCCCTGGTCTAGGTACTGCCCCCATGCTGGGTCTGCCTTCTAGAACCGCCTTCCCCCGAGAGCTGGTAGGGATTGGCTGGAACTTGGCTGTGAGTCACAAAGCCATTGTGGCACCAGGGTCCCAAGGCTGGCCACTCGGGCTGGTGGGTTCAGCTTCAGGGGCAGGTGAGTGGGGCTGGTGGAGGGTTTGGTGGGGGGTACACCGAGTCTGGGTTGTTCTCCCCGGGTCTCCAGCACTTTCACAGTCCCCTTGGACCCTCCAGGCCACTCCAAGAAATGGGCTCGCTTTTCATCCCCTCAGACCAAGGGCACTTGGGGCCCCCAAAAACCCAATAGTGGCTTTGTCTGCCTGGGGTCCCAGCCTGGAGAACCAATCATGTTTCTTGGGAGGCTGGAAAGTGGTCTTAGCTTGTGTAACGGGAAACTGAGGCTCAGAGGGGTTTACTCAAAATTGCCAAGCCAGCCACTCAGCTTACATATCTGGGGGCCGCTTTCCTTTTCTCTGTCCCCTCTCACTCCATTGTCTGTTCACTCATTCTGATTGAGTTCATCGAAAGAGCTGAACCATGTGGTTGATGAAACCCCAGGTTCTGGGATAGGCCAGTTCGGATCCTGAAGTTGCTCTCTCCAAGTTCTGAAGCTTGCGCTGCACCCATCCATCCGTCCACTCATCCATCCATCCATCCATGATCCATCCATCCATCCATCCATCCACCCATCCACACGTGCATGCATGCATGCATGCACTCATCCATCGACCAATCGATCGATCAATCGATCCATTCATCCATCCATCCAACCATCCATGCATGCATCTATCCATGCATCTATCCATAAACATCTATTGAGCACCTATTATATGCATTATTCTAGGTATCGAGGGTTCAATAGCAAACAAAAGAGGCAGACATCCCTACGCATGGGCAGCTCATAGTTAAAGGGGAGAGGCAAATCAGAAATAACATAAAGGAGTAAGAAATATGGTATGCTGGCTTCTCCGGGCCTCAGGTCCCTCCTCTGGGAAATGGGGACAATGGCTGTGCTCACCTCCAGGAGAACCAACCTCAGGCTCATTTGCTGTTATGATTCAGTTCACACAGATGCTTGCTCTGAATGGGCCCAGCTCAAGATCATGACCTGAGCGTAAGTCAGACACTTAACAGACTAAGCCACCCAGGCACCCCTGTTCTGTGTAATTTAAGCCACCTCCTGTTGATAAGCATTTGAGCGGTTTTTAGTTTTTACTCTTCTTCAACAATACAGTGAGGAACATCCTTGAACGTGCTTCTCTATGTACTTGTAACTGACCCCCTAGGAATCACCTTTTTGCTTATCTCTAGCTGTTTTGTTTAAATGTACAAAATAACATTAGGGGCACCTGGGTGGCTCAGTCAGTTAAGTGTCCAACTCTTGATTTCAGCTCAGGTCATGATCTCACAGTCATTAGATCGAGCCCTGTGGTGGGCTCTGTGCTGACAGCATGGAGCCTGCTTGGGATTCTCTCTGTCCCTCTCTGCCCCTCCCCTGCTTGCACACACACTCTTTTTCTCTCTCTCAAAATAAATAAACATTAAAAACCCCAAAATAACACTAGAATGAACTTCTCTGTACATTCATCTTTGTGGAATTAAAAGTTTTGAGATGTTAGGGTTTTGGGGGGTTTGTTGGTTTGTTTGTTTGTTTGCTTTTAACATTTCTTCTCATGTTGGTGTTGAGGACAGAAGCAGCCCAGGGAAGTGTTGCTGCACGTTGCATGGAATGAAGGGCTGAATGAAGGCTACTTCCTCTTACAAGCTGGCTTCTGAGATTGCACCTTCTCCTCCTGCTCCTTCTCCAACTCTATGGCCCTCCAAGGTATGAAGATGGCTGGGGAAGGAAGTCTGGCTGCTCCCGCCAGATGGCAGGGGTGGGGGGCTTCTGCCAAACAAGTGTGTTATGCATCAGGTTACGCATCAGGGCTGCTTGGCAGTATCCCAGCTCCCTCTGAACCAAAGTACTTCTGAAAGCCAAGTCACCCCCTCATTCTTTTACCCATCCTTCCATCTGTCATTGAGCTACGCATCATCTACTAGTCATCGCCATCTATCACCGATTCATCCACCCACTCATCAGCGCACCTCCTAGTCATTGATCTCCTCAATTCCTTCAGCTCTCTTCACTCATACATCCATTTATCTACTTAGATTTCATCCATCCACTACTCATTCGTCTTTCCATCCATCCATTCCTCCCTCCTCTTCCCCCTCCCATCCACCCACCCACCCACCCACCCACCCACCCACCCATCCACCCACCCATCCACCCATCCATCCATCCACCCATCCATCCACCCATCCATCCATCCACCCATCCATCCACCCATCCACCCATCCACCCACCCATCCACCCATCCACCCACCCATCCACCCATCCATCCACCCATCCATCCATCCATGTGTCCATTTCCTTATTTATTGATCTGCTTATCAATTCATTCATCAGTTTCATTTACCTATTTATTCTTCCACACAACCCTTTATCCATCTTTCCATCCCATCCACCATTCATTTACCCAGATTTATCCCTTGAGTATCTAATCATTCATCCATCTATGTGCCCAACTGCCAATCTACTCAGCCACTCATTTATTAATGTAACCACCCACCCAACACTCACCTGTTCCCAGCCTGGAACCAGGCCCTGTGACTGAGATGGGGACACAGAAATGACGCAGACTTGGTTCTGGCCCTCTAGGAATTTGCAGTAAATGGGGAGAGGCAAAAAATAACAACATATAGACACACAGAGAAAATTTCCAAAATAGTGTGATCAGTGCTGTATTCACATGATATTCCACATAAAAAGGAAGTTCAAAAGGCAAGAAGGCGGTTGGGGATTTAACTGAGCATGTGCACTGTGCCAGCATTTAGGTGGCCACAGGATGATAAGGGAGATGTAGGTACCAGAGGCCACCACAGTAGGTGGCCGGGAGAAAGAGGGCCTGCGAAGGAGAGGAAGAAGATTGCAAGGTGTCAAGAACAAGAAGATGTAGGTCCTGGCGTGCTCGCCCCAGCAAGGAGACCCCCTCATCCGCATGACCCCACTCGCTGACCACCTCCTTGCCACCCTTCACAGGCAGAGCTGACCCGCTCAAAAAGCAAGGCAATGCAGCAAGCAACACAGCCACAGTTGTCACCCAGCAGGCAGAGCTTATACCAGCCCCAGTCCAACCCCAGTCTCCAAGACAAAGCACGGACACCATTTCCACGACCTCAGCGTAAGCCGCTTGGTTCCAAGGAGAGCCTTCCGCGAAAGCTGGACAAGGACAAGACGGTGACGCGTCACATCCCACGCCTCCGGGCTGTGGTTGAGAGCCAGGCCTTCAAGAACGTCCTGGTGGATGAGATGGACATGATGCTGTCCCGTGCTGCCACCCTCATCCAAGCCAACTGGAGAGGCTACCGGCTCCGGCAAAAGTTGGTCTCCCAGATGATGGCAGCAAAGGCCATCCAGGAGGCCTGGCGACGCTTCAACATGAGGCGTCTCCTCCGGTCTGGCAAGTCGGTGGAGAAAAAAGTGAGCGCGGACGAGGGGAACATCCCTTACCACCACCCCCAGCAGGTGCGCTTCCAGCATCCGGGAGAGAGCGAGTCCCCTCTGGGCCAGCCCATCATGGTGAGCAAAGAGACCCAGTTCCCTTCCTCTGACAGCCTGGATATCTGCACCCACCGGCTGGCCCTGCACACCCAGAGCACGCCACAGCCTGGCATGCAGGCCCCTTGTCCCAGTGGAGGCCCCAGTGTCACCTTCCTGCCACACCAGACCGTTGCCATCAGACTTCCGTGTCCAGTGAGTCTAGATGCCAAGTGCCACCCATGCCTGCTGACAAGACCTGTCAGAAATGCCTGCCTTGGCCACATAGAAGGGGACACGGTGAAGACCAAGCAAGTAACCGCCAGAGCCAACAAGTCAGGAGTCCCAGGGCCACCACCATCCAGAAGGTATGCCCAGGCAGGTCATGGACCACTCAAGACCCAGACCCAGGCCCACATGGAACCAGAGGTCTTCAAAGTCCTACCCCAGACAGGCCCAGCACCTGTGACAGCCAAGACCCTACCTCTGACGTCTTCAGGGGCCACAATAACCAAGACCCCACCCCAGCCCTGTGTCGTGCCCACGGGAACGATAGCCAAGACCCCGCCCCAGATGTACCCAGCAGCCCGGATGACCAAGACCCCAACCCAGACGTACCCTGCAGCCTCAGTGGTCAAGACCCCTCTCCAGGCATGCCTGGCCGCCATAATGAACAAGACTCCAGCCCAGCCATGCTCAGCGCCCACAGTCACTGTAACCAAGAGCCCACCCCAGACGTCCCAGGTAGGCCCGGTGGCCAAGGCCTCACCCCAGACGTCCCAGCCAGCCACAGCGACCAAGACTCCATTTCAGTCATGCCTAGCGGCCATGATGAACAAGACCCCGTCCCAGCCATGCCCAGCAGCCCCAGCGTCCAAGACCCCAACCCAGATGCGTGCAACAACCTCAGTAACCAATGCTTCACCCCAGACACGGCCGGCAGCCATGATGGCCAAGATCTCACCACAGATATGCCTGTTGGCCTCAATGATCAAGGCCCCAACCCAGACACGCCCTGTGGCCACAGCGACCAAGACTCCGCCCCAGACATGCCCCGTGCCCACGATGGCCAAGGCCCCAACCCAGATGCGCCCGGCATCCCCGACAGCCAAGGCCCCACTGCAGACATGTACGGCAGCTGCCACGGCCAAGACCCCATCTCAGACGCTCACGGGGGCCTCAGTGACCAAAACCCCTCCCCAGACACGTCTGGCAGCCATGGTCACCAAAACCCCAGCCCAATTTCGCTCAATGGCTGCCATCATCAGAACCCTATGCCTGCCGCCTCCAACAGCTGGAAATCTGAAGTCCTCACCACCGGTTACGGTGGCGGCTGGCATCCCCAACACCTCATCCCACACGTATCTGAATGGACCAAAGGCCAAGGCTGTGGGGAATGCAAAGCAGACAACAGGGATGGTCAAGATCTCATCCCACTCATACTTGGCTGATGGAAAGGTCAAATACTTTCCCCCACCACAGCTGGGGGCTGGGACTCCTAAGGCACCAGCCAGGCCTCCTTTGGAAGCTGAAAAAGTCAAGGCCTTCTCTCAGAAACAGGTGAAAACGGAAACAACATCTAATATGAGTGTGGCCGTTGAAATGCCCAGGGCTTCGCCATGGGCAAAAGTGGTTGAGGATAGCAACAAGTCCTCATTACAAACACACCTGAGGACAGATGTCGTGAAGATTCAGTCCCAGGTATATGTGCCTGAAGAAACAGCTGTGGTCCTGCCCCAAGCCCAGCTGGCCGCATGTCCGGCCAAGGCTCCGGATCCATGTCTGGCCAAAGCTCTGCCCCAGGAATGGCTGGCCACGTGTCCAGCCACAGCCTCGTCCCAGGGACAGCTGCTTGCTGAATTGACCGTGACTCTGCCCCAGGCACATCTGGGCACATGCCTGGCCAAGACCCTCTCCCAGGCATATTCGTCCACCAAGTTGACCAAGACCCAGTCCCAGGGACATCCGCCTGCTGAGGTGCCCACGGCTGAGGCTCAATCACATCTGGGCACGTGTCTGTCCAAGACCCTGTCCCAGGCACATCCATCTGCCAAGGTGACCAAGACCCCATCCTTTGCACATCTGGGCACATGTCTGACCAAGGCACAGTCCCAGGCACACCTGGCCACAGGAGTGATCAAGGTCCAGTCTCAAGCCCGTCTGCCTACTGGGCTGACCAAGGTGCAGTCGCAGGCCCAGTTGGTCACAGGAATAGCTAAATGCCTCTGTGCAACCCCCCAACCTGCTGAGCTCAGTGGCAAGACCCAGTCACAGCCTCTCCTGGCTGGGTTCAAGGCCTCCTCCCAGCCTTGCCAGCACGTTGGTGCCCTCGGCACTCTGCCCCAAGCCAAGCTAGAGGACAGACTGACCCAGCCCCAGCCCCACAGCAACGCACAGGGCAAAGCCACCCAGGGCCCATGCCAGGGGGCCTCTGAGATCCAGAGCATACTGGTGCCCCTGTTGGCATCTGCCAGACATCCCACATGCAGCGTCGAATCCTGGGGTGACAGTGGAGTTACCCGGGCCCGGCCGTCGACGACCGGTCCAGCCACACCCTGCCAGGAAGAGCTAGCAGCCTCCCAGCTCGCCTCCCTGTGTGCTGAGCTGGCCGCCGAGCTGGGCTCCCAGGAGGACCTCCGGGCCCTGCTGGCGAAAGCCCTCTCTCAGGGCCCAGTGAGGGCGGCCCTGAGCCAGGCCCTGACCAAGAAAGTCCTGGGCACCACGATGGCCAGGGCCCTGCCCCAGGGCCTACTGGGCACGGCGCTGATGAAAGTGCTGTCCTGGGGTGAGCTGGGCGTCGCCCTGTCCCGCACCCTGACCCCCACGGAGCTCCGGGCAGAACTCACTAAAGCCAAGCAGGGCAAACTGGCCAATGTCCTCAGCAAGGCCCTGACGGAGGAGGAGTGGGCCGCCCTGAGCCAGGCCCTGTGTCAGGGGGAGCTGGGCGCGGTCCTGAGCCAGTCTTTGTCTCAGGCAGCCCTGAGGACTGGAGTTGTCCCTCCCAAGGCCACCTCGAAAACAGCGGGAAGCAGGATGACAGTGATGCCAGCCCCAGTGGAGGTGGGGAGCCCATCGGCTGTGTGGGGGCCCGCCCTGGGGCCCGCGAGACCACAGCCCAGCAAGGTCAGGGTTCCCCAGGATGGGGTCTGGGGGGACTTCTTCACAGGCAGGCCTGGCGGGTTCTTAGCAGAGATGGGGGATGGGGCCATGCTCGGGGGGTCACCCTGCTCTTCGGTGGTCTCCCTGGGTGCCCTCCTGACCTGTAGAGTGATCACCACTGTTCATCAGTACTCCCTAATTGCTGCCCTGGGCCCCAGTCTTTCATGGGAGATGGGCCCCAGCAGGGACTCCTCCTCAAACCTACTATATCTGAATCCTGAGGTCAGTGAGGAAAATGTGTGGCTGCCCCCATGGGCCAATGAATTGGCATCAGATCTCAACCCCGTGGAGAGTGACACGGGCCCCAATTTGCCCAAGCCGTCCCACCTGCAGCCACCCCCCAGTCTCTGGCAGCCGCTCATTGCCAATGGTGTTGGCCCAAGCACCAGCCGGCCATCGGTGGCTGGTGGCACAGCTGCGGGCTCCCACAGGCCACATGTCAGCAGGGTGGCCCCACGTCCAAGGGCAGCGTCAAGGCAGGGCAGGGCAGCCCCGGGTACCCCTTCCCGCCCTGCGGGGGATGGGAGGGCCTCCCACTCCCACCAGTGTACCGCTGCATATGGGAATTCTGTTTGTTGGTGTCAGCCCTCCCGGGCCAGCAAGGTGCCCCCCAGTGTCTGTCGATCGTCAGCTACCAAAGTTCCACAACAGTCACCTGCGGTCCGTGAGGATACCAGGCAGAAAACTCAGTCCCCAAATCACAAACGGGCCTCCGTAGACCCCAGGGAGAGAACCAACAAGGAGACCTCAGGTCCACGGAGGGCTGCCAGTGTGAGCAAAGCACCCCTAACCCAACCACAGACCCCCAAGGCCTGTGACACAACCCTAGGTCTCTTGCCTGGCTCTGTGGCTCCTAGCCATCGCTGGACACTCAAGACGCAGGTAGATTCCAGTGTGTTCCAAGCCTCCCCAGGCAGTAGGATGGCACACACCCTGCCCAGAACAGCCCACCCTCGGCAGGAGAGGAATCGGACCAAGGGTACCATTTCCAGTCCACCCTGCCCGCGGGAGCAAGCGACTGGCCATATACCCAATGGACCCAGTTTGCCCCAGGGTCTAGACAATGACCTGTTTGGAAGCCTCTCCCAAGGCTCCACAGACTGTGGCCCAAATGTGAGTAATTCCCAGAGCTCATTGCCCAGCTGTAGTTCACTCAGCCTTTCCACCATGTCTGTGGCCAGTCTGACTGCTGTTGACCTGGTGGAGGAGGAGCTCTGTGAGACCAGCTTGGATGAGGACGTCCCTGTAGATGCCCTCCTCTCTGGAGAGGCTGCGGGGAGGCCTCAGGGGCCTAGCGATGGGGAAGAAACTAGGAAGGTGAGCTGGCAGCGCTCAACTCCAAACCTCTGCCGCCCACCCTCTGCAGGCTCAGAGCTGATGCCCATTTTGCATCACAGCTCACTGTCGGGTTGTGTGACCCTGAGTGTCCACTGGGGCGCAGATGATCAGGATGAGAGGGGTATGTCTTCAGGCCAAAGTGCCATGGATCTGAAGGAGAGCTTGTCCCAGAAATCCCATAGGACAGGACTGACCAGAAGTGTGTCTTTGGGTAATGTGGTCCCTACCAGATATCAGCAGCCATCTGTGCCCAGTAGGTTAACCTCAAGCCTATCCCAGCCATCAGTAGCAGGCGATGGCCCACAACAGCCATTTATAGTCCATAGGGTCACCGCCAGCCTATCTGAATCGTCTACGGCTAGTAAGGTCTCCCCCAGCCCAACTGAGCCATCTATGGCTAAGGTGACCCCCCACCCAGCCTGGCCATCTATGACCAGTGGGGCAACCTCCAGCCTAGCCCAGCCATCTGTGACCAGTGGGGTGGCCCCCAACATGGACCAGGCATCTGTGACCAGTAGGGTGACTCCCAATCTAGCCAAGTCATCTGTGACTGATAGGGTGGCTTTCAACCTAGTCCAGCCATCTATGACGGATGGGGTGCCCCTCAGCCTAGCCCAGCCATCTGTGACTAGTAGAGTGACTACCGGTCTAGCCAAGCCACCTGTGACCAGTAGGGTGACCCACAACCTAGACCAGGCATCTGTGACCAGTGGGGTGACCCCCAACCTAGACCAAGCATCTGTGACCAGTGGGGTGACTCCCAATCTAGCCAAGTCATCTGTGACCAGTGGGGTGGCCCCCAGCTTAGCTCAGCCATCTGTGACCAGTGGGGTGACCCCCAGCCTAGCCCAGCCATCTGTGACCGGTGGGGTGGCCCTCAGCTTAGCTCAGCCATCTGTGACCAGTGGAGTGACCCCCAGCCTAGCCCAGCCATCTGTGACCGGTGGGGTGGCCCCCAGCTTAGCGCAGCCATCTGTGACCAGTGGGGTGACCGCCAACCTAATGCAGGCATCTGTGACCAGTTGGGTGGCCCCCAGCCTAGCCCGGCCTTTTGTGACTGGTGGGATGGACCCTAGCCTAGCCCAGCCACATATGACAGATGGGGTAGCCCCCAACCTAGCTCAGCCATCTATAACCAGTGGGGTGATCCCTAGCCTAGCTAAGTCATCTATCATTGGTAGGATGGCCCCCAGCCTAGCCCAGCCATCAGTGGCTTATATGGTGGCACCCAGCCTAGCCCAGCCATCAGTGGCTTGTATGGTGGCCCCCAGCCCAGCCCGGCCACCTGTAATGAGTGGTACCAGCTGCGCAGTTAGTCAGTCCAGTTGGGCCCCTAAAGTGGGTTCAAATCTACCATCATCAAGAGCGAATGCAGTAGCCCCTAGTCTGCGTCATCCATCATTTGTGACTGAAGTCCCCCTGAATACATCATATCCGTCTGGGACCAGCAGCATGGGTCAAGGTCTGAGCCAGGCATCTGGGACCCCTGGGATGGACCCATGTCAAGATCCTGTAATGGTCAGTGGGGTGGCCTCAAACCGCCAGGCCCCTGAGTTCAGCGAGGTGTCCCTTGCATTCCATCAGCCACTCGGTGTCAGTGGGAGGCACTCACGTATGACTGAACATTCTGCCGTTGCCTGTTCAGCCCCAGACCTCTACCGGGTGCCTGTGGCCAGTGGAGACAGCTCTTGTCTAGTCCAGGGAACCAGTGTATCCCCAGGGACCCTGTTCAGGGGCATGGCCACAGACGTGTCCCCGGGTGCTATGGCTGCTGGCATGTTCCCAAGTATGTCTCGGGGGGCCCCGGCTGCCGGTATGTTCCTAGGTGTGTCTCCAGGACCTATGTGTCCAGGCATGGTGGGGAATGTGTGCCAGAGGAGTGTGGCGACTAGTGTGGGCCCAAACCAGTTTCAGGTGGCCAGTGGGATGAGTCCCGGTGCACCCCCAGCCTCTGTGGCAGGCGCCCCTTTGATTCGTGAACAAGCCTCAGAGGCGAGTCCTGGGTTCTCTCAGGTTTCAGTGTCCAACAGACTGGGTATGAGTCCATCCAGGTTTTCCCAGGCCAGTGTGGGCCCCACTAGGTCTCAGGTCAGTGTTGATCTCCCAATACCTTTGAGCCACCGGAATCCTTCTGTGTCCACAGTTGTGGCAGCAGATTACCAACAAGCAAATGCTTTCAGCCAGGAGCCTGTGATGGGCACAGTTAGTGGCCTGGTGCCAGGTGCTGTGGCCAGGAGTGTGGCCCCCAGCCTTCCCCCTGGGTCTGTGATCAGAGGTGTGGGCCAGAGCCTGCCCCCAGGGCTGGCGATTGGTGATGTGCCTCCCCACCTTCCACCAGGTTATGTGGTCAGTGATGTAGCTCAAACCCTTCCCCCGGGGTCTGTGATCTGTGGTATCAGCCACAGCCTTCCCCCAGGATCTGTGATCAGTGGCATGGGCCAGGGTCTTCCTCCAGATCCCATGGCCAGTGCTCGGGCCCAGAACTTTCCTCTGGGTTCTGTGGCTAGCGGCATGGCCAGGACCCTGCCTCCAGGTTCTGTGACCCCCAGTCTGATCGCAACCCCTGGGACTGGTGGGGAGAGGCAGAGATTCCCCATAAGATCCTCAGTTAGTTTCACTGCTCCAAGCCTGGTCCCAGGCTCAGTGGTGAGTGGGGTCACCCTGAGTGTCCCTCCTGGGTCTGTGGCCTCTAGTATGGTTCCAGCATCTATGGCTGGGGGACTGAATCAGGGCCTGGTCCTGGGGTCCAGGGCTAGTGTAGCCGGCCTGCCCTCCACAGTCGGAAATGTGGCCCAGAGCCTTCCCCAGGGGTCCCTGCTGATCGGGATCACTCCCAGGCCTTACCATGGATCCTTGGCTGTGGAGGGGCCTATAGCCCCCTTCCAAGTATCCCGTGCCCCTGGCCTGGCTCAACTTCAGCACCACACTGTGGAAGCTAGTGGCACAACCAGGAGAGTGCCCCAAACGCCCACAGTGCTACAAAGAGCCTCACAGTTGAACCACGCTCTTGGCATGATGCCATTTGAGACCACAGATGACCAGATCATGATGAAGGCAGAGAACCTGGAGAAGGCTCTGTCCCTGGTGTCCACATCCAGTGGGGAGTCCATAGGCCTTGAGGCAAGCCCGTGGGTGTCCCATAGTCTCCTGTCAAATGACATCTACCACAGCCTCGAATTCCTTCCCAACTGTCAAAGGCTGTTGTTGGAGGAGGTGGTTCCCAGCAAAACCAAGTCTCTTGCCAGTGGCATGGCCCCTGTCCCTCCCCAGTCCCTGAATATGGCCAAGCACTCGATGGCTGGTGGCATCACCCCAACTCTGCAGCAGAGGCCAGTAACCACTTGGGGGGGCCCCGGTTCCCACTTTGTGACTGCTGGCAGGGTCCCTAGTGTGCACATGGAGTCCGTCAAAGCTACTGGGGCCCCGTTGGCTCATCAACAGGCAACAGTAGTTCATGTGCCTCCGAGCCCCTCGGTGGTCCGCACTGTGTCTCAGAACCCCTTGGTGGCTCACGTTGTTCCCCAGAGCCATGCTCACAAGACGGAGTCTTCTACCATAGTCTCAGGGTCACCCAGGCTGGCCCGTGGCAGCACTATAGCATCCACTTTGCACCCAGGGTCTGTAGCTGGGATGGGGACCCCAAGCACCTCCCAGAAGTCGGGGGCCACCAGTGGGGCCTCACATGTGCCACTTCATCCGCCTATGGTTGGTGGGGTGGCACCTGGTGGGCTCCACATGGAAACTGTCCCCAGCACACACCAGAAGTCGGTGTCTGGCGACCTGGCTCAGACCAAGCACAAGTTTCTTGGCTCTAAAAAATCCTATAGGTCCATTCAGGGTAGTCTTGTCTCGGAAATGCTAGATGATAGCGTAGCCAGGATTGTGTCCTTGCGTGACGTGCGGGAGCAGGCCCGCCGGTCCCCACGGGAAAGTCCTGAACACTTCACAGGGGCGCCACCAGCCATAGCACCGATCACCCATACTGAGGCGACCCCCAACGTGGCCATCCCTAGGCTGTACCCAGGGTTTCGGAGGGTGTCTCTGGGCTATGAGACTTCACCTGACGGTTCCCGGAAGCCCCTTCTTACCCACGAGTCGATGCAGGGGTCTCAGGACTCCCACAGCGCTGTGGCTCCCGCAGATAGTCACAAGGTGTCCCTGACTCCCACTGTACTCCAGGGCCCCGTGGACGCTGGCATAGCTGGTGGCCAAGCGCGGAACCCTGCCGTCCCCAGTGTGGCAGTCGGGCCAACGAACAGCACGGTGGCCCCCAGCGGCCCGTGGGAGCCACCCAGGGCGCCTGTGCCCCGGGACACGGTGGGCAGAGAGGCAGCGGTGGATCCCAGACAGTCGGGGGAGCTGCTGGCGTCGATGCAGGCTGTGGAGAAGATGATCGTCCGCGCTGTGGTCACCATCCAGGCAGGCGCACGTGGCTACCTGGTGCGCCGTACCATCAAAGTGTGGCACCAGTGGGCCATCATCATCCAGGCTGCCTGGCGCGGCTACTGTGTGCGGCGGGACCTGGCCCAGCTCTCCAGAGCCGCCACCGTCATCCAAGCCCTGTGGAGAGGTTTCTGCACCCGTCGGGGCCAAACCCAGCCTGCGTGGCTCCCAGGCACATGGGCCGGGCTGGGCGGCAGGACCAGGTCCACATCTGACCACCGCTGTTTCCAGTCCTGCCAGTCCCACGTCTGCACCCTCTGCCGGTCCCTGAGTCCCAGGGTGGGAAGCCCGCCCAGCGTGGTGATGCTGGTGGGGTCCAGCCCCCGCACCTGCCACATGTGTGGCCACACCCTGCCTACCCGGGTGGTGCACGGCATGGGCCGGGGCGCCCTAGTCCAGGCAGGCACACCGTGGGGCGGTGTCCCCCAGACGACCCCTCGCAGCCCCCCGCAGTCCCGTAACCGGAATAAGGCGGCCACGGCCATCCAGTCGGCCTGGAGGGGCTTCACTGCCCGCCGCCAGCTGAGGCAGCAGCAGGGAGCCGCCAAGATGCTTCAAGCCACCTGGCGTGGCCATCACACCCGGGCCGTCCTCACCACGGATGCGCTCTTGGGGCCTGCAGCATGGGACAGTCAGCAGCACATGCAGTGGCTGGGTGTCTAGGACATCGGCGGACCGGTGGGGGACACTGGGGGAGGGGCATATGGCTCTTTGAGTCTAGTGAATAAAGCCCTCCACAGCCTGGGTCTCGGTCCACCTGTGCTCGTGGGAGTATCTTGGGTGTGGCTGGGGTTGCGGGGGGTCAGGGGGTGGGGGGAGGAGGGGGCGGGGGGCGGGATTGGAAGGCTCTGGAACACCTTGGCTGGGAGAGGTCCTAAAGCTCCGCAGGTGGGATAGAAGAGTCTTTTCTGGAGGTCAGGGCCAACAGCGTGGCCTCACGTATGTCACCGTTATCTGTCCATGGCTAAGGGGGTGGAGTCCAGTCGGTTCCAGATGGGAGCTGTCCCCAGCACATTCCAGAAGCCGGTGTCTGGGGGCCTGGCCCAGAATGGCCACCACGAGTTCCTTGACCCTAGAAAATCCTACAGGCGGATGCATGAGCGCCCTGTTCGGGAAATGCTAGGGGTTTCCGGCCCCTTCCTGATTTGGGAAGTGTGCTCTGCCTTTCTCTCTCACCCCCAGTCTTGGGGAGGGAGAGCCAGACAGATATACCCAGCCTGTTGGGGCAGGAACAGGGCAGAGAGGAAGTGAGGGGGCTACCCCAGAGGGGGCGGCCTGGGCAGAGGAGAGGTGGGGGGGAGCGTGGATTCAGGGCAGCTATGGAGGGGGCCACAGAGTTGAGGGGTGACCTCTTCAGGGTCTTGGTCCAGGTGGGGTTTGTAGAAGAGGTGGGGGGGTCCAGGTGGAGAGGCGGGCAGGAATGGCACCCTGGGAAACAGCAGCAGCCCCCCAGAGGCCCTGCGCCCTGAGGCCCCACCTCCGCCTCACCTGTGCACGGCCGCCGGCAGGGTGCGCGTGCGCGTGCCGAAAGAGCAGGCACCTGGCCACACACCTGTGCAGAGCCCGCCTTTTGCCCTCCCTGCACAGGAATGGCGGTCTCCCAGCTGCCGCGGCCACTTCTGCCACTGTCTCTGGTGCTGCTGCTGGGGAATTCCTCTCTTGCCTCTGTCACCTCTAGAGGTAAGAACAGGTTAAGAAGGAGGCCTGGCTTTCAGGAAGCTGGAGGGGGGCATATGGTTCAGCTACACACCTGTCTTCTGGATCCCTCCTTCGGGCTACCTTCCCCACCCGCCCCCCCTGCCTTACCCCAACACGTGAGCAGTGGCTCCTCTCAGCAGCAAAGTTGGGCACCACCACCCTGCTGCTGACCTGAACCCGCAAGAGGCTGGTGGGGGCCTCCATTCCCAGTCTGAGGTTCTGTTTCAACCCTCGGTTTCTTGTAGCCCCCACAGGGAGAGGAGTGAGGACCGTAGGGCCATGGTGGGGACACACGAGCTCACTTCCTGGTCACTAGGCATTGATGGCTCCCAGGAGAGGCTCTTGGCACTTGACTTAATTTCCTTCTGCTGCCCTGTAAGACGGTCCCCGGGGTGCAGGAGAGTTGAACCTGCATCCTTTCCGCCAGCCGTCGTGTCCCACCAAAGTCACTGCTGTGTCTGACCCGTGCCCCTGACTCAGCCCTAGAACGTCGAGTGGAGGCCACCATGGCCGGGGTTCCCACTGCAGGCAAGGGCTTCACTCAGAAGCCACCACATTTATCCCCACTGCAGAGCTCAGGTAACTGAGGCTCAGGCAAGGCGTCTCCAGCTGTGGTGGCCCAGGTTAGAACCCGATGACTGCAGACTCCCGGCCCAGAGCATGGAAACAGCCCACTTCACCTTCTGGTCTGCTCTCCGGCAGCTCAGGGAACACCTGTCCCCTCTGTCCCGGGCAGGGCAGCCGGCAGAGCCTGAGTCCTCCACTTCCTCTTTCAAGCACTGGTTGACTTTATTTAGAAATATATTTTTTTAAATATTTTTATTTTATTTCTAGGAGAGAGAGAGACAGCGTGAGCAGGGGAGGGTCAGAGAGAGAGGGAGTCACACACTGAAACAGGCTCCAGGCTCTGAGCTGGCCGTCAGCACAGAGCCCGACGCGGGGCTCGAACCCACGAACCGCGAGATCATGACCCGAGCGAAAGTCGGACGCTTAACCGACTAAGCCACTCAGGCGCCCCAGCACTGGTTGACTTTAAAACGTTCAGCTCCCCAAGGGCACCTGGGTGGCTCAGTCAGTTAAGGGTCTGACTCATGGATGGTGAGTTCAAGCCCCACTCCCCATCCCCGCCCCCGTTGGGCTCTGTGCTGTGTGTGAAGCCTACTTACAAAAACAAAACAAAACAACCAAAAAAAACCCAAACAAACAAACTTCAGTTCTGCAGGGTTCTGGCTCAGCTTGGGGTCCACCGTGGCCCTGAGTCACCTTCATTTCAGCAGACATTCCTCAAATAATGACAGGGAGCAGTTTGGGGAGGCTGGCCTCTTCATCTTTATCTCCTTGGAGGTCCTTAAGGGGCCCTCTTCCCACCTCCCTGGTCATCTTGGGCCAGATTGCCTACCATTCTGAGCCTCAGTTCCCCATCTGTAAAATGGGAATGAAGTCAGACCAGTGTACCGTGCGGCTGCAGATTCTGGGAGCCTGGACAGAGAATTAGGGGTCTGTGTGTAGATCCAGCCCAATTTCGGGGCCAGTGCCTGTTCTTATTTCCGCATTCTTGCTGCCTGGGGTGAAGCGAGGGAGGAAGCACAAAGACTGGTCCAGGGCAGAGTAGGTGGGGTGGGGCAAGGAGCAGCTGTTGGAGTAGGTGGGGTGGGGCAAGGGGCGGTTGATGAAGGAACTCACAAGCAGCTACGGCGCCTAGCAGCCTGGAACTAGGAAGCCACTGTGGGATGTGGCCCACAAAGTATTTACCCACCCTCATTCTAGCTCCTGGGCCCAGCGCCTGGGATGGGGTAGGAGCCAGGGAGTGGCTGGAACAGGGCAGGGTAGGTTTCCAGAGCCCCTATCCACGGATTGTTCCCAGAGCCAGAGGTCTCTGAGCCAACCCCTCATGTAAGCCTCTGAGTTTAGCCTTGGGGACCTTCCAGGTACCTGGCGAAGAAGATTCGGGCTGATCCTCCCTGGGAGCTTGGAGGTGGATCTGTGCAGCTGTGTACCCACTATGCGCCTAACCTGTGTGAGCTCTCAGAGGCTCTGACACTGTGATGCTCACTTTACAGAGGAAGAAACTGAGTCCCAGAAGATTTAGAAGAGTTCCCCAGGGGCGCCTGGCCGGCTCAGTTTGTGGTGCATGAGACTCCTGGTCTTGGGGTGGTGATTTCAAGCCCCACATTGGGATAGACTTTACTTAATAAAAGAAAGAAAGGAAGGAAGGAAGGAGAAAGAAAGAGAGAAAGAGAGAAAGAAAGAGAGAAAAAGAGGAAGAAAGAAAAGAGAAAAAGAGAAAGAAAGAAAAGAGAGGTAAAGAAAGAAAAAGAGTTCCCCAGAGTGCTGGCTGGGTTGCACCCATTCCCTATATGCAGACGTTCTTTAGAGCCCTGAAGCAAGGGTGGGGGCGGGGAGGGCCCCACCCTGACTATGACTCTGCCTGTGGGACTTCAGACAAGGGCGCCTCCTGTTTCCCACGGAGCACTCGCATGGTGCACTAAATGCTCCAGGTCTCCCGGAGAGGCAGGTGTTTACTACCTGGAATAACAGGAAGACATCCAAAGAGGGGCTGGGGCCACGCCCCCTTGTTCCTAACCATCCCCTCCCTGCACCCTCAGTGGGTTTCCTTCCAGCGTCATTTTCCCCCCCAGTGCTCTTGGAGAGCAGGATGGAGAACGGAGCTTCCCAGCTACCAGCTCCTCTAGCTCAGCGGAAGCCTTCACCCCCCACTGCAGCCTGAGCTCAGAGACAGGCTCTACCATCCCCACCAGCACCTCGAGTGTAGACAGGCTTGTTAAAACAGAAAATCCAGCAGGAATAAATGGGAAGATCCAAATGGCTTTATTAATGATCCATGAATTGGGCAGTGTCCCATCTTAACAGATAGAAAGGAGCTCCGAGGAGCTGTGCAAAACGAAAAGGCTTTTATAGGCAGAAGGGGGAAGAGAAAGGAAGTTTCTAGTGAAGAGTGGATTGCTTCAGGCAAGTTTACCTTCCTTTGGGAGAAAGAAGAGGAGCATTTATGAGGCAGATTATCTCACAAGTGCTGACCAGCTAATTCCAGATAGATGGGGTAAAGGTCACACTCCTGGGAGGGGCAGAAACTGCAATTAGATTAGGTATTAAGTCTTGGTTTGCTGATATGGGGCTTAGCACAAGTGACTCCACTTTGGGTATGTTTTTCTTTTAACAGACTCCAACGTCCAGGTCAACATCCCTCCAGAGGGTGACTCCTTAAATTTAAAGGAAAGCTCCATCTTCATGGTCAGCCCCATCCCCACAGATCTAACGATGCCCATCTCCTCCCCACAACCAGAAACGGCCACCAACCCCAGTTCTGGCTTCCCGGGTTCAGAGCTTACCCCTACCTCCCACTCCAGCCCCCCAAGTTCCCCCACTTTGACCTTGCATTGGAGCTCCACTTCTCCCAGCTCAAGAACAGAGTCCGATTCCATGCCCTCAACCACCACTTATGGGACCTCTGTGTCCTCCGGCCCTGGTGAGTACTGAAGGTTTGCGTGTTGGAGAAAGGTGTGGAAATACCAGGCTGCAGTTCTGGGATCGGCCACCAGGGAGAGACAGACCTGAGAATGTGTGGAGAAGGGCTTCTCCCCACTCTACCGGGTATCACCTAAAGCCTTTCAGACCTTTTTTCTTCTATGCACACTTATTAAGCACCGAGGGTGTATTAAGTCCTGTGAGACACAGCTTTGTTGGGAGACAAGTTATAAGTAAATTATATATTTGTTTATAAAAGAACAAGATAAACAGGATAAGGGGTCAGAATGTTAATACAAGTGGATTGAAATTTGTTTTAAACTTTTAACTTTTACTTATTGAGTAATCTCTACCTCCCCCCCGCCCCCAATGTGGGGCTCAAACTCATGACCCTGAGATCAAGAGTCCCATACTAAGATTGACATTTTTATTTTTATTTTTTAAATGTTTGTTTATTTTGACAGAGGAGAGAGAGGGGAGCAGGGGGAGAGGCAGAGAGAGAGGGAGAGAGAGAATCAAAGCAGGCTCCGCGCTGCCAGCACAGAGCCTGACATGGGGCTTGAACTCACAAA